GCTAAAATAACATAAACATTTGCCATGGCAGCCACTTTTGATACTCAAGTGAGCCAGAGTGCACCCAGGATCCCCGGATGACCTTGAGAGCCAGTGGAGCAGCCGCCTCCCCCAGGGCTGGGCCTGTGGAGGCCCTCACGCCCTGGACACCTCGGGCTGGGAGGACAGGGCCACACTGGTCTGAGCAGTGCTGACTACACAGGGAGGAGGACACCCAACACCTTCATGCCACCATCATCAAAGACAAGAAAGGCCGGACTTGCTTTTCCTTAGCAAAAGAATTTCTCTTCTTTTGGAACAGAATATTCCTTTTTGCTGCCCTAGGGTGGAACCCAGGGCCTTGTGCACGCTGAGCAGGGGCTGCACCGCGCACACAGAGAAGGCAAGGCTGGGGCCTCCAGCCAGCTGTGTCCTGCTCATTGGGTGGCCGTCACCGCAGCTCAGTCCTCCCAAGGGTGTCACGAGAACCCTCTTCTCAGGAGCGTCTGCCAGACTGGGTGATTCGTGCCGTGGCCCTGTGTCATCCCCTGGTGCTAAGAACGGCCATTGGTGAGATGAGGGCTGAGGCAGGAGGGTGGCCTGAGTCCATGGGGACAGCCTCAGGTTCCGGGTCTGTGCCGCACGGTGACCCACGACCTCGAGGCAGGCTCCTGCGTGCAGTCCCTGGAAGGTCACAGGCGAACCCAGGATCTACTGCATAGTCATTGAAGTTTCAAATTTCACAACCTGGCTCCGAACAGCAAAGCCAAAAAACCCACAGTTCTTTCTGAAGTTTTAGGTTCAGCAGATGGATTTTTTTAATTTGTAAAATTTATTGTTTTACCTTTTTTTTTGGTACCAGGGATCGAACTCAGGACCTTGCAAATTTGCAAGGCAGGCATGGTGTGGTGCCACTGAGCTAAATCCCTGACCTGCCCACCTCTTTTTTTTTTTAATGCAAGGTCTCACTATGTAGCCCAGGCTGGCCTCGAACTCCCAGGGATCCTCCTGCCTCAGCCTCCTGAGTGCTGGGATTATAGGAGCGCACTGCCACGCCCAGCTAGCATATGTATTTTTATTTTAAAAAATTTATTTATTTTTTGGTACTGGGGATCGAACTTGGGTCCTTGAGCTTGCAAGGCAGGTGCCAGAACCACTGAGCTAAATCCCTGGCCCCCTAGCATATGTATTTTTAAAGTTGTGGCAAAATATATACAATATAAAATTCCGCATCTTTTCGCTTTTGAGAGGGGGTCTGGCTCTTGCCTAGGCTGGCCTCCAACTCCAAGGACCATCTCAGGTGGCCTCCTGGGGAGTCTCCATCCTGCCTGGTGGGCCTGGCTGTGTTGGAGGTGAGGGGACAGGTCACATGTCCCAGCCTGCACAGTGCCAGGGAGGGCCACGGGTCTGAACACGCTCTGGGTCCCCATTTTAACCCAAACTTGTCATGTAGGCCTAAGCGCGTCCTGAAATCTCTCCAGACCATGGCAGTGGGAGGAAACCAGAACTCTGAGTGTGAGCACTCAGTGTGTATCTGTGAGCGCGCGTGTGCACATACATCTACAGCCCCGCTGTGGGACACGGGCACCGGTTGCTCCAGGTCAGCCGCGCACCGTCCAGCCCTCAGCCTCTCCACCCTGTGGCCTCTCTCTGCTCTGCTGGGTCTTGACTGTGCACTCAGAGGTGACCAGAATGGCTGCTTCCCTCTCACAGTGGCCTCGCCGGGCACTGCCTGCCAGTCTGGGAGGACAGACTGCCCACTGTGACGAGCCAGGAGTGGGTAAAATGCCCTCGAGAGGCTGCACCTTGCTCGTAGCTTCTTGCCTCTTTACATTCCAAGATCAAAGCACAATTTTAGACTTAGGGATCAGAACTAAAAATGTGAAGATGTCACTTCCACTTTCATAAAGGAGCGACAACTGCCAAGTTAATAAAGGTTGGGTTTGCCTATTCTGCTGTTTGGGAACTCAGCGTGACGCTGTGCGACCCCCTGCCCCGGTTCTGGCAGCTGGTTGGTGCCCCCGGGTGCCCGAGCAGTGCCGCAGTCCCACTCTGTCCCCTTAGGCACACATTCCACTAAGCCTCCATGTGGGCTTTGAATCCTACGGGTGCTCAGAGAATCCTACAAACAAGGGAAAGCAGGTCGGAGGCCTAGAAAGCAGACCGAGGGGCTGGAAGAGTACTGAGTCTCTTCGAGGTCTGCCAAAGGCAGGGCAGAGGCTGTCCAGGGAGCCCCTACCACCCATGTGGGAGAGAGTGCCTGCCACCCTCCCTGGTGGATGCTGGAGGGCTCCGCTCTGGGCTGCAGGCTGGTGGACGACAGGGACACTACTCTGCTTGGGATCAAGGTTTTGCTTCCATCCTGACCGAGGGTTCAGGGAGTGGCTAGAGGAGAAGCAACTTCTTGAATCCCAAGTGTTCTGGGCTCCTTGTGTCACCCCGAGTCTCAGCAGCAGGCTTGTCCTGCATGGCTGAGGCAGAATTCGCCTGTAGGTCTAGGTTGAAGATGCTGGCTCCCATGGTAGACGTGAGCGATACACCAAATGCTAGGCTGAGGATTTCCTAAGGGAATAATGTCGAAAAATGAAAACAAACCCAAACCCGAACCTGGAGCCCTGTCAGTCTCTCCAGCGTGTCAGAAGCAGGTCTAAATGTGCAGGTCTGGAAACCCTGGCCATGGCAGCTCCATGATCCCAAGCCGGCTTCCTCCTCTCTGTTCTCTGCTGCTTAAGCCCAGCAGCGACCTCTGGCTGCTGGGTCCTCTGCCTGTCCCCTCCCCTGCCCGGTCCAGTGTCTCACCCACCCAGCCTTGCACATCCCTCCACAGCTCTGCCTTGGTGTCTCCAGTGTTCTCAGTGGGGGGACACAGGTTGGGCCACTGGCTTCCCGTCCACTTGCGATGTCTCCCAAGGAGGTGGGAATGCTGCCAGCACCGTGTTCCATCTCTGTAGCCCAGACAATGTCCCTGGCTTCCATCTGTCCCCTCCCACTTGTGGTCCCTCTATCCTGCCCTTCAGCCAGCCAGGCCCCCGGCCCCAGCTTGCCCTCCTGTCCTGCTGCTCTGGGAGGAAAAGAAGAGCCTGGGATCCTGCCAGTTACGTGACACCAGTGGTGCGGCTCCCTCCTCTGCCGGCAGACTTCCCTCCTGCAGTGTCCAGGGAGCATCTGGCATGCTGAGCGTGAGCGTGAGCGTCTCCCCTTGGTTATGGCCTCTTCTCTGCTCTCCTTTGCAGCAAAACTGGAAGGAATTCGAGTACTCATCTTGGGGATTCCTGTCCTCCTGTCCTCACTGTTCCGCAAAGCTGCCTGTCAGGGAAGCTAGGGTATCACTGGATCCGGAGTCACACACCAAGCTCCGGGCGGTGCCCGACTCACTGCCCTGGCCTCTCCTACCTGTCTCTAGAATTGCTCTGGACTTAGACAAAATGCACAAATTCTCAGAAAACACAAACCATGGGACTGGCTCAAGAAGACAGACAACTGTAATAGGCCTGTAGCAAATGAAGAGACTGAATTAGCAATTAGAAGGTACTCCGCTAAACCCAGGACCAGAGGGCTTCAATGCGCACTCTACCTAACACTTAAAGAATTAATACCAGATTTTCACAAGCTTCTGAAAAATATAAGAGGAAGGAATATTTCCAACTCATTTTGAGGCCGGTAGTAACTTAATACCAAAACCAAAGACATCACAAGAAAACTGCAGACCCTTATCTGTTATGAGCATGGACATGAAAATTCTCAACAATGTAGTAAACTGAATCCAAGAACACATAAACAGGGTTAGGGTTAGACACTATGAACAAGTCGAGTTATCCAGGAAGACACGTTATAGAACGAATAAACCTCCTGTAATCGGTAGATGGAGGCAGAAAGCAGTGGGCGAAATGCAACGTTCCATGATAAAAACACTGCAGACGGGACAGAGGAACTTCTCCCCAGATAGAGGGCAGCTGTGAAAATCCAGTCGGCGGTGGATGGATGTTCCCTCGGGTCAGGTACAGGCAGGGACCCGTCTCCCGCACTGCCCGGCAACGCCGTACCGGAGGTCAGGCCAGGGCAGTCAGAGCCCAGCGGCCCGCAGACGGGGCGAACGAGGCAGCTGTTAAGACCTGACCGCGAGTTTAGCCGGTCCTTGGGGGGCACCGAGAAACTACTCGAAGTCACAAACCGGTGCTGCGCGGTTGCGGCGAGCCAGACCAAGGAGCCTCCCCAGCCGTGGCGAAGCCGCTGCAGGGAGCCAGCCAGCAGGACCGGCTACAGGGCCTGACCTCCTCGGCCTCCCCGCCCCCGGCTCCGCCCGGGCCTCAGGCTCTGCCCGCTGCCGCGCTGCCGCCCTGCCCAGAAGGCGCTGCCCGACAGCCTCGCCCAGGCCTGGTCCGCACCTTGCTCTACGTCCGCCGCGCCCGGCCCTCCTCCGCCAGACCCTGGGCTCCTGGGGCCCCCTCGCGCCGTCCTCCTCTGGCGCAGAACGTTTGCCAAACGGAGGCCCAAGCATCTGAAGGTTGCTGGCTGGCGCCTACGAGACCCGAGCCCAAGGCGCAGACTTAAGGCTCACCCGGGGTTAGCAACCGGCACCGCTCCTCGGGAAGGGGCGGGGCCCAGGTGTGCTTACCGCACCGGCGGAAAGGGGCGGGTCGGGGTGGGACTGGGGGCGGGGCTGCGGGCGGGGCCCACTGCGCCTGCGGGAAGGGGCGGGGCTGTGGGTGGTGCCTTGTGCGCCTGCGTGAC